GGTCCATCCATGTTGCTGCAAATGACTTTTTCTTTTTTTTTTTAATGGCCGAGTAGTAATATTGTGTCATTGTGCATGTGTTTGTATAACCACGTCTATTTTTATCCATTCCTCAGTTGATAAACATTTAGGTTGTGTCTCTGTCCTGGTTATTGTAAACAGTGCTGCCATGAATGTAAAAAGTGAAAGTGTTAGTCGCTAAATTGTGTCCGACTCTTTGCAACTCCATGGATTATAGCCCACCACATTCCTCTGTCCATGGGATTTTCCAGGGAAGAATACTGGAATTGGTAGCCATTCTCTCATCCAGGGGACCTTCCCGACCCAGGGATCAAACCCAGGTCTCCTGCATTGCAGGCAGGTTCTTTACTATCTGAGCTACCAAGAAAGTGCATATATCTTTTCAAATTCGAGTTTCCTCTGGATATGGCTAGAATTGAGATTGCAGTCATATGACAACTATATTTGTTTTTTTTTAAGGAAACTCCATACTCTTTTCTCTACTGGCTGCACCAATTTTCATTCCCACAACAGTGCTTGGGTTCTCTTTTCCCCATACCCTCTCCAACATTTGTTATTTGTACACTTTTAATGATGCCCATTCTGACCAGTGTTAGGTGTTACTTCATTGTTTTGATTTTCTACCCACTTAAAAAAGTTTTTTTCTTAGTATTCAGTCTTTCAGTTTGTTACATATTTTTCATATTAACCCTTTATCAGATATATGATTTGCAAATATTTTCACCCATTCAGGAGTTTCCCTTTTCATTTTGTTGATAGTTCCTTTTGCTGTGCAAGGTTTAACTTGATATAGTCATACTTGTTTATTTTGCATATTTTGCCTTTTGGTGTCAAATTCATAAAATCATTCTCAAGATCAATGTCAAGAAGCTTACCACCCATTTTTCTTCTAGGAATTTTATGGTTTCAGGTATTAAATTCAAATCTTTGATGCATTTTGTATTGATTTTTGTGTAATGATATAAGATAATGGTCTAGTTTTATTCCTTTGTACATGGTTGTCCAATTTTCCAAATACCATTAATTGAAGAGACTCTCCTTTTCCCCACTTTATATTCCTGGCTCATCTTAACAATATTAAAACTTCAATCCATGAACTCAGAATATCTTCCCATTTTTTTCTATAATTTCTTCTTACAAATTTTGGTGTGCAGATATTACACCTCCTTAGCTAAATTATTCTTATATACTCATTATTTTTGATGCAATTAGCTTTAACTTCTTTGACAATTCATTTTTAGTATATAGACATACCACAGATTTCCATATATTGCTTTTATATCCTATGAATTTAATGTGTTGATTAGTTATAACAGTTATTTCGGTGAAGTCTTCAGGGTTTTGAATATATAATATGTCATCTGCAAAATCACCAGTTTCACTTCTTCACTTCCAACCTGGATGCTTTTTTTTTCTCCTAGCCTAATTGCTCCAGCTAGTACTTCCAATGTTAAGTTGAATGGAAGTGGTCAGAGTTGGCATCCTTGTCTCGATTCTAATTTTAGAGGACAACCTTTTAGCTTTTCATAGTTGAGTATGATGTTAGCTGGGGGCTTATCATATGTGGGCTTTGTTATGTTGAGTTACATTCCCTCCATACACACTTCGTTGAGAGGTTTTATCATAAATGGATGTTGAACTTTGTCAAATGCTTTTTCTGCATCTATTGAGATGACCATGTAATTTTTATCCTTCATTTTGTTAATGGGGTAAAAAACATTGATTAATTTGTGGATGTTGAACCATTCTGTTATCCCTGGGATAAATCCCACTTGATTATGGTGTATGATCTTTTAAATGTATTATTGAATTGATTTGCTAATACTTGCTGAGGATTTCCCCCCCCCCTAATCTTCACAGGGATATTAGCCTATAATTTGTGTTTCATCTTTGTCTGGTTTTGGTATCAGGGAAATCTGGTCTTGTAAAATGAGGTTGAACGTGTTCTTTTCCTTATATATTTTGGAAGAGTTTGAAGAGACTCTGTATTAATTCTGTTTGAATTCTACCAAACAGTTAACCAGTGAAGTCATCTGGTCCTGAGCTTTCATTTGCTGGGAAGTTTTTTTTTTAATTTGATTAAATCTTCTTGCTAGTAATCAGTCTGTTCATATTTTTTCTTTCTTGATGATTCAGTCTTGCCAGGTTGTGTGCATCTAGAAATTTAGCTATTTCTTATAGATTGTCCAACATGTTGATGTATAATTATTTATTCTCTCTCATCCTTTGTATTTCTGTGGTTTTGGTGTAGTATCTCCTTTCATTTCTGAGTCCTTTGTTTTGTTTGGTGAGTCTAGTTAATGGTGTCAATTTTGATGCTCATTTCAAAGAAACAGCTCTTAGTTTCATTGATCTTTTTAATGTCTTTTCAGTCTCTATTTACTTCCATTCTGATCTTTCTTATTTCCTTCCTTCTATTAACCCTGCATTTAATTTGTTCTTGTTTCACTAGTTCTTGAGGCATTATGTTACTTGAGATGTTTCTTATTTCTTAAAGAAGGCATTTATCACTATGAACTTCCCTCTTAGAATTGCTTTTTTTTGAATCTCATATATTTTGGTATGTTGTACTCTCATTTTTGTCTTAAGGTATTTCTTGGTTTGTCTTTTAATTCTTTGACCCAGTGGTTATCAGTGAATTTTAATCTCCACATATTTGTATATTTTCCAGTTTTCACCTCATAATTTATTTCTAGTTTCATACTATTATGGTTGGGAAAAGAGGCCTGATATAATTTCAATCTTCTTAAATTTATTAAGGCATGTTTTATGGTCTTAAATATGATCTACCTTAAGGACTGTTCCATGTGCACTTGAAAAGAATGCATTCTATTGCTTTGGGATGAAATATTCTATATATGTAAATAAATAAATATATATTTACATATAGAGAAAAGTTAAAAGCTTAATATTAAGTTGTTCAATCCTTACCATTTGTTTCTTACCATTTATTCAATAAATCCAATGACTATTTTTCTCAGTTCTTAAGCCTGACTTTTTTAGAATGTTTGACACTGCCTACCATCTATTTCTTGAATATTCCTCTTACATAAACCAGTGCAGAAATGAACTAATCTACTTGTGTTCTCACAATGCTGATTCTTCATATTCTTCTTAAATGTATCTTTTCTCCCCACATACGATGTACCTAATTGATTTTCCCACTTTTCATTTTCTTTCTATATTCTTAGTAATCTCATTTATTCTAATTGCAGCAATTATTTGTAAAACTACATTTACAATTTTCTGTTGCTTGTTGGATATTCTATTGTAAAAGATATCTGAACTTCCAACCTTAACTGTCCAAAGAATTATCATCATTCTCACTACTAAATTCTAAAGCAAAACACCCGTAGTTTTTCACAGTTCTGTCACTGTTAACCAAGGACAACATTCTCATAATTATCCAAGTTTGAAATTTTAGTTATTCTTTGATTGCACAAACTTTCAGCCTGACAGTGTTCAAACTAAATTATTAATTTAATGTTCTAACTCTAAACTCTGATGAATTTGTCTTGAATCATTGTCTTTTTACCTTACCTATAAATTCATTTTTTCACCTAAACTTGGACTATTGAATAGGCCCCTAAATGATCTTCCTGCTTTCAGTTTTTCCCTTTCCCAGCTGTCCATCAAGTCACTTCTATACTAACCATCTAATCATTCTGTCCTACTGCTTAGGGGAAAACAATTGGAGGAAGAAAAAATGCTTTATACTGCCTAGAGACCAAAGCCTGAAATTTCTCACCTGCTTTATTGATCAATCTTTTCTTTAGTCCTCATTTTCTCATTCTTTCTTAATCTATTTTTTAATGTATATCTTGTGCTATTATACATATACTTCAAGTTCTGACTAGGAAAATGTAATCCATATTTTCTGAATGTGACCTGAAATCTTACACCTTTGATAATTTTGTATGTAGAAGTAGTAGAGAGTTCAGTGAGTTTTAACCACTTCCTTAACCATGTCCTCTGGCCAGTTAGCCACCTCAAGTGTAACCCACATTTTCTAACCCAAGTGAAAATACGGAACTGGTGCTGAAAAGATAATTTCAAGACAAGGCTCTGTCATTGAATCTCCTGCCAACCACATGTTGCTGCTAAGTCTGTCCTGTGTAGAAATATTAAAACAACCACTCTGTTGAAACTCTCCCATCCTATTAAATCTAAACTCAAATTTTAACATATCCATTCCTTTTTTCTTTGATGTGTTAAGTTGTAAGAATTTCTCCTGGCACTTATTTTAGCATTTTAACTTCCCTAATGAGCTATTTTCTGTACAGTGTTATTTGCTTTTATGTACCTACCTTACCCCTGCTTAGTCAAGACAAGATGAGGAGAGGGTTTATAGTATGCATTTCTGTATACTCCATATTATCCATAACAGGCATTCAAATATTTGAGCTATTTGTGTCTGCTTAACTGTTTATAATAGTTTGAATACAGCCAGATTCCCCCCCCCTCCTTTTAATTGGGTCCATTTATGTAGCATTTGCTCTGACATCAGAGGTCTATATTTTTATATGACAACAGATGTCGTACCTGTTGTTTGACCTATTTTCTATTGGTCAAGTTTTATTTTCCTTTAAAATTAATTTCTGCTTCCTTTAACATTTTGTGGAGAAATATATGTAGTACATCAACATTTATATGAATATACCTGAATAAACATGTCTCTATATACATTTAAGTTACAGCTGCTAGGACTTCTTCAGATGATACATTTCTTTAACCTATGACAGTGACTTGTGTTTAAGATTTTACATCCTGTCTGTATCTTGCTCAATACCAGACACATAGTGCTAAGTAACTGTCCAATGCCTGAATGTTTAGTAAATTAATTGTTTTTGAAAACACAAAAAACACAGAACAGAGATGTATATATGCACATAAAAAACACAAGAGATTTTTTTTGTCTTTCTGTGGTAACTAAAAATGTAACTGCTTTTCACTTCCAAGTCACATATAAGGCAGGAGAAAAAGATTTAAACGTTTTTGGGAGGGAGACATTTCTCCTCAAACTGAGGAATCTGTAGAATGCCATATACATTTATGAATTTGAAGTTATTCTTGAACTGGCAAACATCTGCATCTTCCACATCTGGGGCAGCATCTGTTTTGTGTTGATAGAAGAAAAAAAGACAAGAAAATTGGGGTAAACACCACAGCACAATATCAAATTGTACAAATCTAACAAATATATTTATTTGTTGTTGATCAAGTGGCCAAGAAGTGGTGTGAGGCCCATACTAACATGCTTGATAATTGCATTTCTTAACTCCCTTTAGAAAGTGCCATACTCTAGGCCTGGGAATAACAAGCTTTTGCATAACGGCACAGGGGCCTATAAATAAGAAACTCATTAAGCTACCTGTAGCAGGCCTCTGCCCCAGCCCTGCGCTGGCTTGGGGAGCTTAATGAGGTGATAATGAGGAGAAAATGGTTTAGCTCCTTTTGGCCTGGTTTGCGATGGGTAGGGAAATCCCAGTCTTCAGTGAAACAGCCACCATAGAGCCCAATTCATCATTCAAGGTCAGTCTATACCAGAAAAATAATTTGCTTCTAGGCCCTGAAGTTATTTGGCTTCCCTGTCTATGGAAACAAAGCAAGCTATTCATCCACATTTGAAGGGACTGTCCGAATAACACCAATAAAGGATGTTAAACTAGCTGGTCATTAGCATTTGAAGGGACTGGCCAAATAACACCAACAAAGGGTGTTAAACCAATCCACATTGGGGTGGGTGGAGCACTGTGCAATTCTAAGTGGATTAATGCCAGCATTATTTTCTCACTATGAGTCCAGCCTCCCAAGATTTCATATTTATTCATGGCTTGGACCAAACCTTCTTGGCCAATCTCTCCCCTTCTTTTTCCCTATAAAGAAACTAAAGCAGTACACTGGGATTGAGAATATAACATTTAGCATATTGGAAATGAGACAGAGATTGGATCACCAAACTGTTGGTCATCCAGGCCACAATGCCAAATTCAGTAGATACTCTATGGCAATCCCGAAGAGGGGTCCAAAAAAATAGATGACTGATCAGTTTCATTTGATTTAAGCTTTTCTCAGTTATGTTAAATGCTGCTGTTGATAATCCTCAAAGAAAAAAGAAAGGTGGGATCATAATTTCAAGAAGAAAGTATCTCAGTGTTCCAAATTCTCTATATTGTGTCCCTTAGAGAAGGACATTCAATCTCTAATTGAAAGCAGCACAGAAAACTCAGGAAAAACATATAGCTGTTTAATGTCAAGGTGTCATCCTACTATAGGTGATACTACTACTCTACCTGGTGGAAATGGGAAGATAACACACACATGCTATGGAGCTCAGCAATTTTACTTACATTATTTGTTCTTAAAATATTTTTGTGGGTTATACAGTAAGAGCCGCAATTAGTAGATAAGAGCATGTCAGCTAAGAAATTAAATAGCTTATCTAGCCTAAAATAACTAGTAAGTGCTAGAGCCGAAATTCACACGCAGAGATCACTGTTTGCAGTAATAGCAGAAAATTGGGGCCCAGAGAACCTACAGACCTCAGCTGATAGGGCTAGTGATAATTCAGATATAACTTTCAAGTAGAGGGTTTCAAGGAAATTATGGCCTATTAGAGACATGAATTCACCTTAACCCTGTACCAAATCAACAACAAAGGATAAAAAATATTGCCGGCTAATGGGAGAGAAAAAAAAATAGCACATGAGAATGATGCACAGTACATAACAAAGCAAACCATTACAAAGTTGAACTCTTATTATCCACTAGGGATGAGGGAGAGCAAGGTCAATGAGAAGCAAGTCAGCTCATGCTGCAAAATGGGGTTGGGTGTGGAGGAGTTCGGGAGTAGGTGGAGGCAACAGATCTGTGAAGCAAGATGCAAGACAAGGCCGAAACAAGGCGACTGATTTAATCACTGTTCAGCTACCTGGCACTCTCCCCCAACCCAGGTTAGAAAGCTTAGCGAATGTCCCCTCCTACAACCTTCATCCCACAATTTGTGGTCTATTGGTCAGACTGATTCATAATGTCTACTTATAACCTTGAAACTCAGCAGGACCCCAAACTTCATTTTCCTCTTAAAACTAATTTCCCTTCTGAAATTTAACATTTTGGTGAATTTTACTATCTTTATTCTATTGGGACATTTTATTAATTTGTAGTAGATTTTGTGATATAGGAATCCTTGATTATGTATTCTCCCAGTTTGTGGTTTCTCTTTTCATGTTTGTATTTTAATAAGCAAATTTAAAATAAAAGTATATTAAGATTTATTTTTTACTTAGCATCTGTGTGTATTTTTCTGAAGAGAAAACCTTTGTAATTCTGAAACTTTAAAGATATTCTTCTAAAGTTTATTCTAAAACTATAAAGTTTTGAATTGCACATTTAATCCTAATTTCAAATCTACTTGGAGCTTATTTTCTTATATTTTACTGTGTGAGCCTGTATGTTTCTATTTCTATATGGATTAACAACTGTCACAGCACCATTTAATAGAGTTGCTCATTTCCCCATGATCTGTAAAACCACCTTTGTGGTACCATCATGTTTCCACACATGCATATATCTGTTTATGGTTGTTCCTCTCTCACATTTATCTATTCCTGCGCTAGTACCATACTGCCCTAATTACACAGCTTTATGATGAATTTTGGTGTCTGGCAGAGGAAGCGCTCATCATTTCTTCAGGAGGAGTCCCCCTTTCTTCAGTCTTACTCCTTTCCTATATATTTTGGTAACTTTTAGTAATTTTGAGTTTTTATAAGCCATGAATATGGTACTATCCTTATTACTTTTGTAGACTTTTGTTTAATCAATGAAGCAGAAGTAGATGTTTCTCTGGAATTCTCTTGCTTTCTCTATGATCTGGTGAATGTTGGCAATTTGATCACTGATTCATCTGCTTCTTTTATTTTTCTTTTTTTCCCTTGGAGGATAATTGCTTTACCATATTGTGCTGGCCTCTGCCATACATAAACATGAACCAGCCACAGATATATATATGTCCCCTCCTTCCTAGACCCCTTTTCCACCCCATCCCCTCCACTGGCTTCTCACAGAACTCTGGGCTGAGCTCCCTGTGTCACACAGCAAATTCCCACTTGCTATCTATTTTGCATATGGTAATGTATGTTTCCATGTTATTATCTCAATTTGTCCCACCCTCTTCTTCCCCCACTGTGTCCATTAGTCTCTTCCTTATTGTCTGCATCTCCATTGCTGCCCTGCAAATAGGTTCATCAGTGCCATCTTTCTAGATTCCATACACATGCATTAATATACAATATGTGTCTCTCTCTGACTTACTCCACTTTGTCTAATAGGCTCTAGGTTCATCCACCTCATTAGGAGACTCAAATGCATTCTTTATAGTTGAGTAATATTCCATTGCACATATATACCACAATTTCTGTATCCCTTCATTTGTCAATGAACATCTAGGTTGCTGCCTTGCCCTAGCTATTGTAAAAAGTGCTGCAATGAACATTGGGGTACATATATCTCTTTCAATTATGATTTTCTCAGGGTTTATGCCCAGTAGTGGATCGTTGGGTCATATAATACTAGTTCTATTCCTAGTTTTTTAAGGTATTCCCATTCTGTTCTCCATAGTGGTTGTATCTTATTTACATTCCCACCAACATTATCCCTTATTATTGATATTTTCTATCTGTATGTATTTTTCATAAAAGTCATCCATTTTAAGACTTCTAGTTACCATCCGTTTTTTGTTGTACTATCCGTTTTTTGTAACTATTCTACTTCTTGCTATTGTGGACAAACTTACTGAGTTTTTATATAATCTTATATCTAGAAACCTTACTAATCCATCTAATCTTCCAAAAATTGTTTTGTTTTGCATATCCTCTGTAGTTGTCTATATTGAGAAACTTTTTAATCAGTTGTTTATTGATTATTCTGTTTCTTCTTCTCCAAACCTTGTAATTTTTTTCCTCCTCTTATTATGTGAGCCAGGAACTCTAGGACAATGTTGGTAAAAATCAATGTTAGTGCTTATCCATCCTCATAGTAAGTTATGATTGTGTTTCATCATTAAGATATTATTTGCCTAATTTGCTAAAAGGTTTTATTAAAACATTAATATTGAATTTCATAAGCTTCATTTTACTAACTAATAAAATCATTTTCTCAGAATCAATCCCCAGACAAGATGGCAAAGTATAAGGACCTGAGTTAATCCTCTCATGCAAAATCACAATTAACTGAATAACTATTGGCAGAAAACCTGCTGGAGGACAATACTTCCAAAGACAAAGAAGCCACAAGACAGCAGGAAGGATACATTCACAATACAATCAAATTCCAGACATACCAGGTGGGTGACTCACAAACTGATAAGTAATTATATCACAGAGGTTCTCCCACAGAAATGAGAGCTCTGAGCGCTGTGTCAGGATTCCCCTAGTCTGGGAGTTTGGCATTAGGGAGAGGGGGCACCCAGAGTGTTTGACTTTGAAGGCCACTGGAGCTTAATCTCAGTAACTCCACAGGACTGGGGGAAACAAATGCCACTCTTGGATGGTGAATATAAGATCTTATGCAGTTACTTCATATGAACCTGGGAAAAACCTACCTTCTCGTCTTGGAGGTTGTCCTGGGAAGGTGAGGGTGGCATTGGCTCACTGCAGGGACAAGTATACTGGTGGTAGACGTTCTGGGAAGTACTCTAATTAGTGTGAGCTGTCCTAGAAACTGCCATTTTGACATCACCCAACAGCCCAAATGTTCTAGTGCTGGGACACCTCAGGCTAAACAACCAATAGGGTGGGAACACCTGCCCCCAGTAACTCCACAGGACTGGGGGAAACAAATGCCACTCTTGGATGGTGAATATAAGATCTTATGCAGTTACTTCATATGAACCTGGGAAAAACCTACCTTCTCGTCTTGGAGGTTGTCCTGGGAAGGTGAGGGTGGCTGTGGCTCACTGCAGGGACAAGTATACTGGTGGTAGAGGTTCTGGGAAGTACTCTAATTAGTGTGAGCTGTCCTAGAAACTGCCATTTTGACATCACCCAACAGCCCAAATGTTCTAGTGCTGGGACACCTCAGGCTAAACAACCAATAGGGTGGGAACACCTGCCCCCAACCAGCAAGCAGACAGACTGCTTCAAGTATTTCTGAGCCCACAGCCACCTCTAAACACAGTCCTGACCACCAGTGGGCAGGCACCAGTCCCTCCCATTGTTGAAACATGCTTAAGCCTCTTAGAACAGCCTCATCCACCAGAGGGGAGGCACCAGAAGCAAGAACTATAATCTTGAGCCTGTTCAGGACCACAAACACAGAAAGTTAGAAAAAATGAGATGGCAGTGAGGTGTGTTCCAGACAAAGGAACAGCATGAAACCCCAGAAGAACAATTGAGTGAAGTGGATGGAGATAGGCAATCTACCTGAAAAATAATTTACACAAATGATACTAAGGATGAGCTAAGATCTCAGAAAAAGAATGAAGACAAAGACCAAGAAGATATAAGAAATATTTAACAAAGAGAAAATTTAAAGAACTGAGATGAACTCTACAATAACTGAAATGAAAAATAAACTAGAAGGAACCAATAGCAGAGTAACTGAGGCAGAAGAACAAATAAGTAGCCTGAAAACAGAATGGTGGACATCATTGCCACAGAACAGAATAAAGAAAAAAGACAACAGTAATCAAAGCATTATAGTACTGGCACAAAACAGAAATATAGATCAGTGGAACTGTATAGAAAGCCTAGAAATAAACCCATACACTTATGGTCAATTTATGATAAAGGAGGCAAGAATATATGATGGAGAAAAGACAATCTCTTCAATAAATGGTGCTGGGAAAACTGGACAGCAACATGTAAAAGAATGAAATTAGAACATTCTCTAATACCATACACAAAAATTAACTCAAAATGTATTAAAGTCCAAAATGTAAGACTGGCTATTATAAGATGGAGGAAAACATAGGCAGAACTCTCTGAAATAAATGTTGGCCATATCCTTTTGGTTCCACCTCCTAGAACAATGAAAGTAAAAACAAAAATAAACAGATGGGACCTAACTAAACTTAAAAGCTTTGCACAGCAAAGGAAATAAAATGAAAAGACATCCTACAGAATGGAAGAAAATGCAAACAAAGCAACTGACAAAGGATTAATCTCCAAACTATATAAACAGCTCAGGCAGCCCAATTAAAAAGTGGGTGGAAGATCTAAATAGACATTTCCCCAAATAAGGCATACTATGCTCCAACCAGTCCATCCTAAAGGAGATCAATCTTGGGTGTTCACTGGAAGGACTGACGCTGAAGCTGAAACTCCAATACTTTGGCCACCTCATGTGAAGAGTTGACTCATTGGAAAAGACCCTGATGCTGGGAGGCATTGGGGGGCAGGAGGAGAAAGGGATGACAGAGGATGAGATGGCTGGATGGAATCAACGACTCAATGAACATGAGTTTGAGTAAACTCTGGGAGTTGGTGATGGACAGAGAGGCCTGGCGTGCTGCGATTCATGGGATCACAAACAGTTGGACACAACTAAGTGACTGAACTGAACTGAACTGATGCTTGCTAAGTCGCTTCAGTTGTGTTTGACTGTTTGTGACCCCATGGACTGTAGCCTGCCAGGCTCCTCTATCTATAGGATTCAGATGGCCAAAAAGCACATAAAAATATGCTCAACATTGCTAATTATTAGAGAAGTGCAAATGAAAACTAGAGTGAGGTATCACCTCACTGGTCAGAATGGCCATCAAAACAGCTGCAAACTGTAAATGCTAGAGAGAATGTGGATCAAATGGAACCCTCCTACACTGTTGGTGGGAATGTAAATTGGCACATCCACTATGGAGATTCCTTAAAAAATTGAAAATATGATCTAGCAGTCCTACTCCTTGCAATATATCTGGAGACAAACATTATTTGAAAAGATGCATGCACCCCAATTTTCACTGAAGCATATTTACAATATGTACAACTAAATCACTTTTCTGTACGCCTGGCTGCCTCAGTTATCCTGAGCCACCTAAATATCTATGGATGAATGAATGGATAAAGATGGGATACATATCTACCATTTGCATCAAAATGGATGGATCAAGAGATTATCATAGTAAGTTAGACAATTATATGATATCATTTATATGTGGAATCTTAAAAAAAATACAAATGAACTTATTTACAAAACAGAAACAGATTCACACTCTCGGAAAACAAACTTACAGTTAACTTATGGTTACCAAAGGGTAGTGGGAGGGGGGATAAATTAAGAGGTTGAGATTAATATATACACACTTCTAGATATGTAAAATAGATAATCAATGTGCACCTACTGTATAGCACAGGGAGCTCTATTTAATGTTCTATAATAAGCTATACGGGAAAAGAATCTGATAAAGAATAGATTTATGTATGTGTATAATTTGGAGAAGGAAATGGCATCCCAAAGAGTCAAACAAGACTTAGCAACTAAACAGCAGCAACAATATGTATAACTAAGTCACTTTTCTGTACACCTAAAACTCACAACATTGTAAGTCAAATATACTCCAATATAAAATAAATAAACCTTTTTCCTCTAATCTGTCTATATGGTAAATTATAGTTGTAAATTTAATAGCATTAAATCACACTGAAATTCCTGTAATAAATGTAATCACACCTTTTTTTTGTTATGTTTTTTTGTGGAAATTTTCATATAAATCCATGAATGAAATGGGCTTGTGATTTTCCTACTTTGAACACCCTTTTTTATTTCAGAATTATACTAGTCTTATATTGTGATTTAAATGATTTTGGCAATTCATTAAAGCATAATTGTGCTAGTGTATCCAGAATGCAGTTAGTGTCTAATAGCGAAGCCCTGGTTAATACCTAGTAAACTCGAAGAATCTTCTCTAACTACATGTTGGCAAGTTTTACTCACAAAATGAAATGAATATATGGAGCATTCAAAAACCTGGAACGGTGTCCTATATTTTCACCTATTCAGAATACTCAACTCTTTGTTTCCCCAGTTGCATGCCAAGGAAAGATAGAAACTAAACTAGTAAGTCTAAAAAAAAGGTTTGCTTTAGATAAGTTTGCTTAATTGCAGGCTCACACCATTTCTGATGTACGTAATTACGTATATTAAATTAAAAGATCTCCCTCTCTGGCTCTTAGTGAAAAGCAAGTAAATAGAATAGATGGTATTGTCAAATTTTCTTGACTATATAAAAAGGTGATTGGAATAGATGTGCTCTAAGATGGCCCTCATTCTAAAAAGATATGCCTGTGTCTAAAAAACAATAAAATAGTTTCCTGTTAATTACATACCAGTGAATAATTGAGAGTTAAGTAAACATTGTATTTTCCCTGTTAACAGAGTAGTAACTTCTAAAGTACGTTTTCACCCTGTAGTCCTTACATTCAATCTAATGTTGCCTTCAAGTAACTAATAATTATTGCTGTATTTACCTGTTCTTTGTGACTTGGGTTTTGGGGCGTTTTTTTTTGTTAAATGGAGATGGGAAATCCATCCTTAAAATCAAAGTAATCAAAGTTCAAGTATGTTCCCTTGGAACAGGACTCCAGGGACAGAGCAACAGCTTGTCTCACAGTCTAGAACCAGACAGTTCAAAAAAAAAAAAGGCTTATTAAACTTAGGCAGATTTGACCCAGTGATATTTATGAAGTAAGAAACCAGGAAGAAAAACCGAGTTTGTAAGAAAATATAAGGAGGGTCTTTGAGAACAATGGTCATGTTCTGTGAAAATAAGTACTAAAAGAATATTTATTAAAAATACAGGTAGTATGTATATGTGAAAATGAAAGTGTTAGTCACTCAGTCATGTCCGACTTTTTGTAACTCAATGGACTGTAGCCCACCAGACTCCTTTGTCCATGGGATTCTCCAGGCAAGAATACTGGAGTGGGTAGCCATTCTCTTCTCCACAGGATCTTCCTGACCCAGAGATCGAATGAAGTTCTCCTGCATTGCAGGCAGGTTCTTTTACTGTCTGATCTACCAAGGAAGCCCACATGAATTCACACACCCACACAAATAAACTTTTAAGAATATATCATTACTTTCTCTATAAAAGTCCTCAAAAATGAGACTTTATTTTACTCAGAATAATTTGAATTTAACTCAAGTACTGAAATACAAGGGTCGTTAATGATCTTTGGGGGGGGGCTCAAATAAAGATCTATAAATAAAACTTTAGAAAATAAAATTTGGAAATGTTCATTCCTGAGATCAGATTCATAGGAAATCTGTACATGTAACCACTATTGGCTTTAATTGTTACATAATATAATGTAAAAATAATAAATATTACTATGCAGAACGGAGATAATCACATAGGCAATAATTTCACTTTATAATAGTAAAAGGATTCAAGATTGATAGACTTGTATGAATCATACTACTGTAAAGTATAAAATTTAACATATTTTTCAACTTGAAAGGTTGACAGTTGAAATATATGTGAAGGAATGACTAAGCAGCATAAAGAATTAAATTAGATAACTCAATAAGTCAAAATCAATCTCTGCCATTAATTTTTTGGAAGTAAATTAACTTAGTGTCTTGTTAATTTTTTAGGGTTGAAATTCCTGCTTATTCTCTAGTTTTCAAGTCTAAAAGATGAAAAATAATGTGTAATTCATTTTATAGTATTAATGGATAAAACAGAAGCCTCT